CCCCAAAACCCCAAAACCCCAAAACCCCAAAACCCCAAGCCATCATTCAAAAATTGAATGTAGTTATATTTATCAACACAAATCTGCACTTAAACCTAAATTTACTCTTTTGATTGGATTTCTTTACTCTCTTCTATTTCAAGTCCTGGCATTTCGTCCTGAAGCTCTCTCATGTAGTTGTCAATCCTGGAAACTCCTTGAGAGTTGATCGAGGAACAGTCCTTCATATCTTTCTGATCATTTGAAATAACTAGGGTGTTCGCAGATGATCCCTTTTTCATGTTGAACTCCTGGATGGAGTCAAGTCTGCTATTATCAGAAACCTTACAAGGAGCAACTCTATAGGATGATTGAGTAAAACCTACCTTGAATTTACTTGTTCTCTCTTCTTGGGTTTACACTTTAGCATTCAGGTCAGGATTATAGCGATTATTTGGATAATCAGAATTAAAATACCATTTACTGTTAAAACTGTAACGACAGTTGTTCCTGCAGAGTCAGTCCATCTTGAGGAAGAGTTATAATGAATCAGAAACACACAAACACAGCAGTAGATACCATCATGTAAGGCCTCGATGATGTTTTCTTTAACACCATCAAAAGGCCGAATTACCACCACATATCCAAAGGAGAATACCTGAATTATCAAAAAGACTCAGATTCTGGCCTCAATGACCAGCCTATTGGAGAACACTATCCACGAAGCACTGAGGATTCTTCTCAGGATGAAAACAAACTGGAACAGTCTGGCGTAGATCCCTTGCTTGGTACCCAAGAAAAGTTCACTACATTTTGAAATCTCAACTATGAATTTGGGGTCTGATGCTTTGAAAGAAACCCAGAATATGAACATCACTAGGGCTAGTAGGCCGAGTAGCACACAAAAGGAGATTGCAAAGGAGAGGCCTTTCACCTCGCGGCTGACATCGAAGATATAGATCTCATTAAGAGATGAGAAATACAAAAATAGGTAAGCTTCCAGTATAATCCGGAAATAAATTGCGAAATTCCATAACTGATAAAGCTTCATGAACAATCTTCCCAAAAAGGTGTTTTTCCCTTCATATCGCTTATCCATAATGTTGATGAAGATGTGGGAGAAAACCAGAGGGATGAAGATCAGGAACAACTGGAAGTTGTTCAACAGTGTACATTTGTAGTTAAATCCTACTAGTTCATAGTCCTCGTTAGACTCCTTACAACTGAAGAACTGGAAGAAATCGTTAACAAAATGGATATTTTGGATCGAAAAAAATTCTAAGTTAAAGTTAGCAAATTCAAAACCTGCAAGGTAATCCTTAATGTATTGGTGCAGATTTGCACCAAGCAAATTCAGCAGTAAAAACATCTGGAATTGGTTCATCAGTGTCCATAAGTTGTGAGGGGAAGAGGAGCTTAGAGCTCCTGAAATCGCACCAAGAGCAATCCCTCCTCCAACTGCAGTCTGCGTTACAGTTTTGGTCATGCTTACCGCCTGAGGAGTTTCAGTCTCATTCGCAGCAGGCTCTCCAGAACTAGAGGAGTTTGTAGTAGAGGTAGGGTTAGTAGTCACAACAGGAATGTTTACACTGATCCTCACGGTCTTTGTATAAGTAGTTGCCCCAATAACTGTTTCGATTACGAATCTATAAGTATGGGCACTGGTAAAGCTATCAGAGGACATAGTCAGCTGATAAGTGCTGTCATCCAGAGAAACACTAGGAGGCAAAGCCTGAGATGAATATTGAACCACAGTATGAGTCATTGGAGTAGATCCCCCTACAGAGCAGGTCAAACTGATATTAAACACTTTTGTGGCTCCTGAATCTATGTCGCTGCCAAATGTATTTAACCAAAAAGATTCATCTGTGATAGAGGATGATGCTTCAGGAGTATAAGTAGCACTTAAATCCTCTGTAAAAAGGGTTGTATGTGACATTGTTGTATTGGTAGAACTAACCACAGTTGCAGTATCTGTTACAACTGGATAAGTAACATTATCTAACTGTGACGGATATGTGGATGCACTACTGATGGATGTGAATGCTGCCATACTATTACTAGGGCCTTTGTTAATATATCCATGCAAATCTCCAGAAATATCAATTCCTCCAGTGAGATAATAAAACTGACCTGCATTAGCTACTGAATTAAATGTAATACTTGAGTCTACAATTTCGAATGGGGTTCCCCAACTTTCTGCATTATAGTAATAATGCATCATGTACTGCTTCGTGCATTTAAGTACAAAGAACAAGCCAGTGCCTGTTTTGCTGATACTATTAACTCCAGTTCATCCTGCTCCTGTATCATTAAATATAGATCGATTTCCAACAAATGCTCCGTCAGTCACATTGAAAACTGTAAGAATAACCTGATTATTGAAGCTCATGGCGATTTTAGTCGTGGTATCATTAGTATTCCCAGCAGAAAGCCCAGCTGCTGAGCAGCTGGCTGTTGGGCACTCTATCTTCCGGTCCCATACAGTAACATCAGCAATGTTATCGAAATCAATCTTATTTAATTTTGAGATTCTTCGCTGCATTGGTATCGTCAATCACAAAGATTAATTGGCTACTATCATAGCCAATTATTTCTTTAGCAATGTTGTGGCCAGGGTAAATAACTCACTGAAGGTCTGCAGAAGTGATGGTCCACCTGCACACAGCTGGGTCATTGGTCCCAACTTCGAGGACCGAGATATACACAGTCTCGTCAGTCAGAGAAGTGGTTATCTTACTTTCATCTGTTGTAAAATAAGCAGTTGTTTCTTTTCCTCCAGAAATTTGGCCATCAGTAGCATTTTGCTGAAAAATTTTCAAGCGATTTGTTGAAAAACTTAGGGAATAAGTGTAAGTCTCGTCGCTGGTTACTCAAAATGCATAACTACAAGGAATATTTTGGTATACTTTCCTCCATATCTGGGTGTTATTTTCATCATATTTCATAAACAAGGACCTTTCTATAAGTAAAGTTAGCTTATTAGTACAAAGCCGTGGCTGTATACAGACATGCTTTCAGGAAATTACCTGTGTTATAAACTCTGCCATAGTAATAAATATTCCCACTGGACTCGTCTCTGACCACTTTTGTAATCTCAGCACGACTGTATCCACTCATAGTAAATTTATAAGTCTCCACTTGTTGTGCAGCAAGGGTTGTATTTGGTCAAGTTGTGGTTCAGATTTCCTGAACCCAGACTGCCAAGAAAAGCATCATAAATCGAAACCAGCTCATTTTTAATATCCTCAAAAATTATAACCTGAAAGGGGTTTTGGGGTTTTGGGGTTTTGGGGTTTTGGGG